TTCTTGCTTCTGCCACAAATTCCCCCAGCTATGAGCCTTCCAACCTTCTAAATATTCCTTTATATGTGGTTCAGAGTTCTGGGACCGTCCCCTGAGCCTGCTTGGTTGGGTATTCTGTGTTGTTGTTGGTGGAGCTCCTTTACTGCACTTCGACCTGATCCGCCATCTTGTTTCTTCTCTCTAATGCTTTCTTTTTAATCTCTTCTTCAAAGACTTTCTCTCAGGCAACACCACATTGACCTCCTTGCTGTTTCCCTTTTCTTTAGAGAAGATGTGAGTAAAGACTAAAATATACCCCTCTGAGCAATGCCTTCTCTGATGTTAGATGACAACCTTTACTTTCTGTGCACTTCCTTGTTTTTCCTCATGGCATTTCTCTCCCTTTGACACATAGAATATGCATATAGTATTTTACACATTTAGTTTTTTCTCTGGTTCCTCTTCTCAAGCACGCACACACACACACAAACGAGCATATGCTCCACAAGGCAAGGATTTTCACCTGTTTTCTTCTCTGCTGCATACCCAGAGTATTGAACAATGTATATTACACAGAAGGAACTTCAAATACTTGTTGAGTCTTTGCATTTTTTAAAATTAAGCTCCTCATATGGTTTATAATATAAATTGGAAAACCATGAATCTGTAAAACCAAAGGATTGCTTAGTATAAAGGAAATTTGGGGTTACAAGAGGTCTTGTTTACTTTGCTGCAGGATTCAAGGGCTTACTAGTACTTGAGCACCATCGTTAAATAGTAAGTGTACTTACTAGAATGAAACCATTACCAGGCCTGCTTTAAAAAATATTTTCCGTGGATTTTGCTTATGCAATTGTTCATTTTATAGAGTCATAACATTTTTTTGTAAATAAGGCTTACTTTTCCTGTCTTTTGCCTGAATTAATCTGGTTTTTAAATCACAGCCTTGATAATGCCTGCCTGCCTTTTTTCCCTTCCATGCAGCTATTTGATTAAATTTGCATTAAACAGCATGATTCTTAGCTTTTTTTAAAAAAAAAAATTTAAATAGCTTTGTGGGGTGTGTATAGATTTCAGTCCAGTCTTTTACCTCTAGGGTCTAACTTGGTTGAAGGCAGGTGTTGAAATATAATGGGTAACAGGACAATATTATGTTATAACCAGCGCAAAACAAAAAGTGAATTCTTCCTGGTCTGGGGTCAGTAAGAAGAATTTGAGAGAGGCAGCATGGGGATGGATGTTTAAGAGTGGTTACATTTGCACAAGAACAAGGGCAGGACAAGGCATTGAAGATGTGGTAGGCATTGAGATGAAGGCCTGCTACTGGACTGCATTGAGGGTCTGATGAGAGAGAAGGTAAGAAGATTGTGCTAGGGAGTTAATTTTTATCACCTTTTTTGGTTTATGTGTTTTGGTGTATGTTTTTTGTCTTTCCCTTTATTGTAATTTTTAAAGTACATGTATATCATTTTACCACGGGAGAAAAATGAGGCTTTCTTCTCCCATGAAGATTTAAAGCCTTAGAAAACATATGAGGGTTGCTATGAGTTGAAACCAACTTAACTGTACTTAACAACAAGATACATAAAACTTCTAATAGTTCTATAAGGCTTATAATGAAAACTAGCTATATGCTGTACGTATCCCTTATGTCTTCTAAGTCCCTGTCCCATAATTTTTTTCAAAAGCTATTTCTTCGAGCATTTATAGTTTTAAATAGCATGCATATGTTGCTATTTTTCATCATCAAGTTTAAATGTTATAGAGAAGGTTTTGAGTGGTGAGTGATTTGAAGATCTTGAGGCATTTTGGATTGAGGAGCAGTGTGGTAAGAATGGGCGTTTTAGCTTTTCCAAAACTGCTCGGGAGCCTTGGTGGTGCTGTGGGTTAGGGATTAAGCTGCTAATTGCAAGGTCAGTGGTTCAAACCCACCAGCCTGTTGATGGAACTGACTGTTGCCATAAAGATTTAGTGTTAGAAACTCTCCCTGTATAAGATAACTATGAGGTGGAATCCACTCAGTAGCAATGGGTTTTGTTTTGTTTTTGATTTATGAAGACATTAAGACACAATTTGTTGTTTTTGTTGTTATGTGCCATCGAGTTGTACAGACTCATAGTGACCGTGTATAGATTTTCTGAGGAGCGGCTGGTGAGCTTGAACTGCTGACCTTGTGGTTCAAAGCAACCTTGCAGTCCAACGCATTAGCCCACTGCGCCACACCAGGACTCCAAGACACAATAGATTATGTAATTAATCATGGTTTGTGATTTAAAAATCTCTTCTACAAATTGCGAGAAAGAGACAGAGACAGAGAGAGAGAAGCTGTTGGGTACATCGGCCCAACATGACCTACCTTAAGGGTACTGCTCACACTGCTAAGCAAGTCTGTCCCACTTTGATAGATAGCGACTTCCAGTAAGAACTGATGTGAACTCCAGTGTGCCTGATTTGCAGCAAGGTACCTTACTTCTTAGTGTCCCACCTGTAAAACAAGGAAAGAGGATACTGCTTTATATTCAGGTCTTTTACATCAGAAGGTACCAAAGATTAGTGGATGTGTGTAAAGACTAAGGAGGGAGAGAAGCATCTTAAACAGAACTGATGCATGTATCTCTTTTATTTTTATTTTTATTAAGACTCAATGGTGAAGGTGTTCCAGGCATTCTGTAAATGCATTCTCTGGAAAGGGTTATGTCAGGCAGGTCTATAAATTGTGCTGTTTTATATGTTTTGTGTTTGTTTCATCATAGGATATATGATTGGATGCCTGAACAGCCAAATATATTCCAAGTGGAGCAGTTGGAACGCCTGAAGCAAGAGTTACCAGAGCTTAAGAGCTGTTTGTGCCCCACTGTTAGCCACTTTGCACCCTCCTCTTTGTGCGGGGAGCCTGATATCCGCATGGATGCCAATGGCATCGACGACACGGAGAATGCTTAGTTTTTACTGCACAGAGACCACGTGGGGGCATCCACTGCTCTCCTGGGTATTCACCTTTCATCAGTGAAACTATGTCTGTCAATGCCTTTTGGGTTCTAAGTCCAACGAAGCAATAATGAAGTATTTTACTAATTCACCACAGTTCTTGCTAGAATTTCAAATATGCTACTTAAATCACTTGGCCAGGTATAATTACCAGTCAGTCTCTTTACAAATGAGAAAATTTACTGGGAAATACTTCAAACTAAAGATGTCAACCTATAATGTTAAACAGATGTTCATTAATAAGCATAGCTCTTTGAAATTAAATTTCTGAGTATCTCCTGTTTTCACTCGCCACAGCTTTTCATTTGATCAGGTCTGAAATCTTTTAAGCACGTGAGGAAAATGACTATGCATAATTATACCTGACCAGTGGGAAAAATAAAAAAGTACCTCAAATGCATGCATTTGCACTCGTGATCCAACTGCACAAGTCTTTGTGCCATCTGTGTCCATATGTGTTTTTACATGGGTTGACGTGCACACATACCGTTTTCCTTCAGTATGCACCTTGCCACTGCTGCCGTTTCCCACGTAACCAAACCAGTTCCTGTGTACGCACTTTGGAGGTGAAACCATGGACACTTGTTTCTTCACAAGGTTTTCAAAAGTCATTTTGCATAAATCTTAAAATTTCAAAATGCTGCAGGGTAATTTAATGTATAAAATATTCGCAAAAGGAAATATGCGTTTCGCAGACTTGAGTAGAGTAGCTCGGCATGTATAAATTCAAGTCAATGCATGCTTCAGGTTGTAAGCATGAGCTTGTACACGTTTACTTCAGTCCTTGCATCTGTGGTGCTAGGTGAGTGAGGAGGTGCCAAGGACTCAAAATATTTTGTTGCCTAAAGAAAAAGAAAAAAAAAAAAATCCTGTTGATAGGCATCTAAATACGCTTATTTTACGTCTCTCATTACCTATTACACACTGTTGCTTTGTAGATTTGTTTTGTGTGTTTATGTTGTATAGTAGTGACATCTCCATGCAGAAAAATAAATGTTCTGAATTCTCATATTGGTATTCTTTACTGGTTAATGCGTATCATGCATGTAATTTGTTTAGAAATGTAGACGATCCTACTAAGTGTATCTGCATGTTTTTAAGCTTATACTAAGGTTTCTCTCATTTGAAGCAGATTGTTTTGACATAGCTGAACCTTAAAAATGAATGTTAAATAAAATGACCCAGATTTATCTTCTTCATTGTAAAATGGAATTTCAAGATGTTGTTACTTTTATAGAATCTCTTTCTGTGAATACTGTTAAGAAAAATCAAAATTTAGTGTCTAGCCTAAAGGGGTTATTTGCCATCAGCCTTTTACTGCATGTTCTTCACTAGCAGTTTATACATATCTTGATGTATTTGGGTAGTAATTGAGAACCCAAGACTTGAAATTATGTGTTGTATCTTTTTTTTTTTTTAAGCTAAGCAATGCTATTTGGGTCTGATCTTAATTGTTTAAAGATAGGCCTTGAAATCCTGTGGTATTATATTTAGTGGATTATTCTGTAAGGGTTTTGTTATATTTTTACACAAACAGTGTGCACGTTATACAGGTTTTTATCAAATCATGAAGTTTCCTTGAGCTAGTTTCATAACATGTGGGAGAAGAAAATACATGCTTTTCCCATTGAATGAGATTTTCCAACATTTTGGTGCGAACTGAGCACTTGTTATAAACCTTGGAAATGTTTTCCTCCTCTGCAGACCTTTTGTCCAGTATAATAATCATGACCTTATGGTAATTTGGCCATGTGTGTGTGTTTCTAATCCTGTTCCTTTGTTTCACCACGCCCTTCCGGTCCAGCTCTTTTAAAGAATCAAAGGATAGTGGAGAAATAGATCAATACAGGGAAAAAAGAGAAAGTGGAGAAAATGAGGAAAGGAAGTGGTATGGGTGTGGAGTGCCCTGAGCAGTTGATATTTACAGAAAAGAGCTTATAATAACGGCTTAAAATACAGACAGAACCTCATCACTCACTCTCTTTTCTATTGCTTCCTGCCCGTAAGATCCAGGGCTAGAAGATGATTACACTATAACAAGCAGTGGGTCCTAGTTTTTACAGGGCAAGTCCAACGTCTCTCACTAGCCAATGCCCTAAACTCTGAGATCAAGCCACACTGTACCTCAAAGCCCTCTACTCCCAAGGATATGTTCTCCCCGCCAAACTCATTTCTGCTTGAGTCGTTAGTTTTCTTTCTTGATCCTGTGTCGAAACTCCCTCAAAATGGATGCATCAGTCTTCCTCCATTGCATTTTGCTCATAGTGTGATTATATTATCATCATAGTACATTTTAGGTAGGCATTTGTTGATACCTGCCTCGTCTACCTGGCTGTGACCTTCCCAAGGGCAGGAACCTTGTATTATTTATTTTTATTTCTACAATACCTAGAGCTTAGTAGAAACTGAGTGTTGGAATAGTTGGGATCATCTACCAAGTGTCTTTTTTAATTAAAAGGCTTAATCATGTACTAAGATTGTAAGCTTTGAATTGGTTTTACAATTTGATCATGGTTTATTGATACCAGCTTTGAAATGTAGAGGTGTGCTGTTAAATTATTTGCTGTTTTTCTGGAAATTGACTGAAATGTTTGATAAAATACCGCCATTGTTCTGGTATTTTCTGTTCTCTGAAATGATGTGCTGTAACTGACCAGATGGCAGTGTGAGGAGCCCAACTCCCTCCTGTGTCAGTAGTGCCTGAGGACCCCAACAGCTGGCCTTCTGCCACCCCATTGCTCTTTGTAATGCTCACCTTCCTCCTCTCCAAACCCCACGCTTAGGCCTACCTCAGAACTGTCACTCTCCTTATGGGAAGCGCTTTTCTCTGCCTGCCTGCAGTGTACAGCTCAGGTGTCACCATGTCCATAAAACTTAATTCCGCTTTTCATCAGCTGTATGCTGTTTTAAAAGCAAACAAAAGTAGACACCTAAATCGCACTACGTTTTTTGTAGGTGAGGTAATAAACCCAGAGGGATTCAGTGATTTACCAGGTTGAGACTAGAATCTGAGTTTCATGATTTCTAATCTGATGCTCTGAAACTATGTTAACTTCTGAATTCTTGTGCATTTGTTAGCATATGCTTTCTTACAGTTCAGTTTTTTATGTGCCTGTTATATTTCCCTAATAAGACTGTAAGCCTCTCAAGGGCAGGACTTTGCATTTCTAACACTACTCTAGCACTCTCTACATAGTTATGAAGTAGATAATAAATAAATGGTGGTGGCAACTGTCCCAGTTTCCTTATGCAGATTGTTTGATGATACACTGGCAGTTTCGTGTGGCATGTTTGCCTGTATTGTCTGGACTGTGTGTGTGTGATTGTGTGTGTGTATGTGTTTGCATATAGAATTCTTACTTGTGCCCTGGTTGCTTGGGGATCACGTATTTGATAGGTTATCCTAACCAATGAGGAGAATGATGGAAGAATTGTGAAGTGCTGTTGAGTAGGTTCCAACTCACAGAAATCTTGTATAGGGTTTCCCAGGACATCACTGGTAGCATTCCAGTGCTTATCCTACAGCACCACACCAGGACTCTGATGGATTCAGGTGGAATATAGGATACAGGTTTTGCCCAGGTATGGCTGCCCCTTCTTACACAATATCCCTAAATCCTGTGTCTGGTGGACTGAGTGAAGAGTGCTGCCTTGGATAGTACTTGCTTGACGCCAGTGGTTGCGGGGGGACCTCATTAGTCCTGATGGACAGTCATGGCCCTTGATCCTCTTCACCACTGTGACTGCTGGTTTGATACCCTAGACTGGATAATTCGATCCTGTTCGTTTAGATTTAGATACATCTGCTTTGCTTTGCTTTGCATTTCAGGTTAGGGTAGAAAGTAACGTATACATATTAGAAATATTGCATTAGTTTGGTGTTCATGATGGAACTTCATATATTATTTCTTAATGGGCTTATGCAGTTGGAGAAATACATTTGAAATGTTCAATAAAGCAAGAGGACCTATGATTGAGGTCATAAAAGTATATGCTGTGGGAGTGAAGGATGTGAATTGGAACAAAAATGTCCTGGTGCTCTCAAAGCCTTTGCAGAAAAGGGTAGACAGATGACAACATAGTTGTGAAACCAGTTTGAGGGCAGCCTGTGTAGACTCCGGGAGAATGAAGGAGTCAGCCTGACCAGGGAGAGGAAATTATGACTGCCAGAGAGAGGCTTTCATTCCTAGCAGGAGAGAAGGGTTTTTACTGAGACCTGAGATTATTAGGGTTTTTATATTATGCCTGATGGGTGGCTGCCCTGTTGTTCTTTTTCAGAGTTTTGTTGTTGTTTTTTAATTTACCCACAATCTATTGTTTAATACTTGAGTCACCTTATCAAATGCCAGAGAAGATTTTTTTTTAAATTTGCATTTTAAACTGAGTATATTCCCAACCATACTTTTTGTTTCTTCTGTAATGTCTTTCTTTTGTGTACTCTCTTCTGGTTTAGGAAGAATGCATTCCTTTTCAGGAAGAATCCTCTCAATGTGGCAGGAGGAGCTCGTATTTGGGTCAATCTGACTGAGCGCTAAGTCGGTGGAGCACCTTGGGGAACTTTATCTAAATAATGTTCAATGATCAGGGAATCTACATCTAAACCCCTAGGTTGGCATTACACTGCATTTTAAAGCATGCACGGTAAAAATGCATTCTTTGGGCCACTGACCCTGGGTCCATCTGCACTGTTTGGCCTGGGCACACCTACTGACTAATATACATTGCTTCTGCAAAGTGACAACTCAAAGTACTTGATGACTTTTCACATATGCATATCCTTGATGACTTGGGCAATTTCATGAGTGTTATTAAAATGGATTCAAAGATTTGAACTTCTTGACTGGCATGATTTTGTGATGTTTTCTGAGTCAAGTGAATAGTTACAAACCTGTTTTGTGAGATCACCTTAGACTGTTAGTAGGAAGAACTTGATTGATTATTCTAGACTAATGTGCAGGAAAGATTCCTTTAGATGTATAATTAGGCAGTACTGGTGTGCTGTCAATGCACTGGACTGCAAAGTCGGTGGTTCAAGCTCACCAGCCACTCATCAGAAACCCTATAGGGGGTCACTGTGGGTCAGAACTGACTCAATGGCACAACAATAACTGAAAAGTTGGTGGTTTGAATTCACCCACAGACCCCTTGGGAGAATTTTAAAGATCTACTTGAGAAAGTAGATGAGAACCCTACAGAGCACAGTTCTACTCGGAAACATGTGGGGTGGTCATGAGTCACAATGGACTCAACAGCATTTGGTTCTACCTGGTTTATAAAGTTTATTCCTTGATTTAAACAACTACCCTTGTGAATTTGTGTGTGTGTGTCTTTTAGTTTCCAAAACACTGCTGGATCCTCACAATCACTGCTGTCTGAGCCTTCTGTTGTGGCCAGTCTGTCAGTCCATCTCACTGAGGGTTTTCGTATTTGTGGGCCCTCTGCTTTACCAAGCATGATGCTCCTCAGGGTCTGGTCCCTCCTGATGTCATGTCCAAAGTACGTGAGACAAAGTCTCGTGTTTCTTCTGCATCAATGACAAGCAGGGTTTTTGTTTTGTTTTGTTTTTGAAGGGAAGGTGGGGCATATTGATCTTCTATCTTGCAACCTCAATAAACTCACTTATTAGTCAAATGGTTTTCATTAAACCTATGGGATTTTCTAGATAATTGATCATGGGTTCTACAATGTGTTTTTCTCATTTTTTATAATAATTCATTTAATGAGCTAGTTACAAATATAGGCATTTGTTTCTTTCCTGACTTTAATGAGGGTGTAAGTGTGACTGCTGAAGTTATCTGGCACATGATAATTAAATAATGTGAAGACTAGAAATGGCAAACGTTACATATATATTTACTACCCTATTCCTGTACTCTGCCCTACCTCCTCCTAGATCTAAGCCACCACTACCTTAATTTCTGTCTCTAGATTTCCCTAGTCTGGTTTTATGGATGGAATTACATTTAATCTTTTGTGACTGGCCTCTCTCACTTAGCATAATTTCTAAAA